ACATCATTTTTAGTACTGCTTATCTAACACAGCAAGTTTACAGCGAAAACAAGTGATAATTGACACAGATAAACTATGAAATCTCAGTTACAGTTTACAAAAACCTACACTAGAAGTGCAGAATCTGTCCACGTGCATAAATACATGTTCTGAGAAATTTTGTAGAAATTATTGTCTAGAAATGTTGATTCGAGACTATGGAGTCGGTGGAAATTCTTCGAGTTATTTTTCCATTCTGAAAAATTTTCCTTTATTACGATAGATTCTGTATCTCTAAACCACACCTTAAAACTTCAAATCTCTTTCGAAATAGGCGAAAAACAAAGTCATCTATTAGGCGTTGACAACCAGTTTTTAGCACTACGGTATACCAGTTAAATAATGAACCTTCAAAATTCTTATTTTTTAGATTCAGACAGGAGTGTCTCAAGATCGCTAAGATTGGAGTGGAGCGATCGATGACTCAAGAGATCGATTGGAAAATTTTTGCTACAGTTGACCGAATTTGGGAATGGGGAGGATGAACTTTTTTTTTAGGAACTAGTGAGCATAGATGCTGGAAAAAAAACGAAAATTTTTCAAGATTCAGAAGGAGGTAACTCCCGTCGCTCGAGACATCTCTGGATTTTAGATATTAAAAAAGAAATCTTATTATTAATTAAATTTGCTATCTATAAAACTTAAACATATTAATATTTTTCATATCTCAATTCCAAATTGAAACTAGCAAATGCTTTTATGATTTAACTAATTTTTCAGATAAACAATATATAGATTGAACTTCACTATAATAGCCTTCGTCTTTTCCCAACTATATCATTATTCCAATAGAAATTTTATATGATTATATACACTTTATACAAATATAGACGAATCTCTCTTAATATAAGTAACTATCTTAGTAAAATATACTTCTCATAAAGACATTAAAAGTAGTCTATTGAATGAAGAAAACAAAAAATTTTCTCAATATTATAGATCGCTCGACCACCATTTGTACGACAACTTTTTCGACCAACAACTATTCGACCTGTTCCACCAAAATTAGTGACACTTGAAAATTCAGTAAATCAAATTGATCCAATTACTACTCAAAGAAAAACACCTATCAGAATATCACCGTCAATTGAATCATTATCATCATCATCGTCATCATCTCTTCCAACATTATCAACAATTAATTCTAATCATGAAGAAATTCAAGAAAAAAAATCATGTTGTGATTGTTTTCCATGTTGTCCACAACGAACAATAAAATCTTCAAAAATGAATAACTATTCAAATTTTAAATTCAATCCTCGAACAATTTATATAATTATTATTCTTCTTTTTATCTTTTTTCTTATTGTCATTATTCTTCTTATTGTCTTGATTGTTGTTGTTCCTCGTTAGTTAACTTTCTTTCTTTCTTTCTTTTTTTTTTTTTTCTTTGTCTCAAAAGTATCAAAGTGAAGAATCATGCTGTTACTGTGGTTATATCGCTTCTAACGATACACATATCGTTTGATCTATACGATATATACCGCCAATAAAACTGACTGATTCTCTAAGTAGTTCACCGCTTTACTGCTCTTCAAGTAGTATTGCTGTGATAGAAAAGAGAAGAAAAAGAAACTAGATACCATTTATTTAAAAGAAAAACTTCTCTTGGGTTCACATAATGATGAAGATCAGACTATACAACTTGACATAGC